ATTAGCCAGGTGTGGTAGCGCATGCCTGTAGTTCTAGCTACTTGGAAGGCTGAGGCAGAAGGATTGCTGGAGCCCAGCAGGTCAAGGCTGCAGAGGCTGGGAGCATGCCACTGCACTCCAGTCCGGGCGACAGAGTGAGACTCCAACGCAATTAAAAAAAAAAAAGGTATCTTATCAAAACAGACTAATGATAGAATGATTAAAAAGAACCAAATAGAAAATATGGAGTTAAAAAGCATTGTAACTGAAATGAAATATTCTCTACAGAGGCTCAACAGCAGATTTGAGCTGGCAGAGGAAAGAATCAGCAAGTCTGAAGACTTATCAATTCAGAATGTCCCGTCTGAAGATCAGAATGAAAAAAGAATGAAAAACGAACAGGGGGGGGTCCAATGGCTCACACCTACAAGCTCAGCACCCTGGGAGGCTGAGGCAGGAGGACTGCCTGAGCCTAGGAGTTTGGGACTAGGCCGAGCAACATAGGAAGATCTTGTCTCTACAAAAAAGTAAAAAAACTAGCTGAGGGCAGGCATGGGCTTGAGACCAGCCTGGGCAAGTTGGCATGATCTTGCCCTACGATAAATGAAAAAAATTTGCCAGGTGTGGCGGCGAGTCTGTCGTTCCAGCCACCTGGAAGGCTGAGGTGGAAGGATCTCCTGATCCCAGAAGGTTGAGGCTGTGGTGAGCCCTGATTGTGTTACTGCACTCCAGCCTGGGCAACAGAATGAGAAAAAAATAAAATAAAAATGAACAGAGCCTTACAGACCAGGGGATATAATCAGGCATACCAAATGGGAGTCCTAAAAGGAGAGGAAAGAGGCAGAAAAAATAAAAACTTTAAGAGTCCTATGTAACTTGCACGATCGAATGTTCTGTCTGCCCTCTCGCCCCAATTCCTGTGTTGAAATCCTAACCTTTAGGTTATCAGGTCATGAGAGTAAAGCCTTCATGAATGGGATTAGGAGTTTATCCAAGGGACCTCCGAAAGTTCTCTCACCCTTTCTGCCATGTGAAGGTACAGCAAGAAGTTGGCTGCTTGCAACCTGGAAGAAGACCCTCAATAGAACCCTGGCCATGCTGGCACCCTGATTTTAGATTTGCAGGTGGGAGAACAGTGAGAAATCTTGTTTATAAGCCTACCAGACAGGCCAAATGTGGTGGCTCATGCCTGTAACGCCAGCACTTCGGAAGTGGAGGTGGGAGGATCGCTCGAGCTCAGGAGTGCCACTGCACTCCAGCCTGGGTGACAGAGTGAGACTTTGACTAAACAAAAACAAAAACAAAAAAAACCCCAACAGGGCTTTTCATAAAATGTTTAGAGAGAACTCTAAATTTTTTTTTTTTTTTTTGAGCTGGAGCCTC